TAGTGCTAGTTTAATATCACTTTCCTCCAGTCACTCTCTTCTCTTTAGAAATGAGCTCTTCTATTTTTTCTTCTATTTTCCAGCGACCAGTAGATGTTCGTAATCGTGTCGGTGCGCGTGTGCTGAAGTTGTACCTATTCCTCAACGATAATGTAATGAAAGAGTGGCAGAGATATGGCAGGTGTGAGAACAGCTTGAGGCTCGTGTCATTAGCTCACCACCGTTGTTGCTCCATTCGGTGCTGATCCAGCCTGTCACCATCAATCCAACAAATGCCACACAATCTTTTATTAAAGTGTGTAGCAGTTGCAAAGTGGATGAAGGATCCTGAGGCAGGTTTTGTGTGCAACGCTGACTTTATTTGTTTTTCAACTCACGCTCATACCTAGCTGCCCTTTGGTGTGATTTAATTGTGCATGTTAAGTGGGATTGAGTGCTGTCTCACTTCTGCTGTTGCGATTTCTATTTTATTTTAGTGTCACTCACACCATGTAATTGCCGGTCACAAAAAAGTGGATTACAAAACCCCGGTCCTTCTGATATAAAAGATGGAAGAAAGATGAAAGAAGGCGTTGTAGCATGAACAAGTGACACTTTTGAATGAGTGGGAGATGAGAGGAGCGGTGGTTTGAAGGCAGAGGAGAAGTGGGACAGAGTGACAGACTGCTACAGTAGGCTCTTGGCACCGTGATCATGCTGCACTGCATGACATCACCACAGGAGTCGGAAAATGAATTTTCCAACATGAGCACCTGGCTTTAAGGTGATTTACCGAGGTAAATGTGATACAGTCGTTTATTTAATCATTTAATTGAAGTGAGCAAAATTAAACTACCCACTTTCTTATGAATACTAATTATTTCACTAAGTGGTGGAAAAAGCTACCTTAAAGTTCAATGATATCGATAGAGAAGCTACACTAAAAAACATGTGTTTTACTCAACTACTTGAGGGACTTACAACTTGCAACATGCCATATTTTAAATGCCAAAAGGACGACTAATAAATTTAGACTGAAATCTGTGATAACATTTGCCACATTTACACCTGTCAAAATGTTTTGAATTCATCTTCTACCACTTAATCCTTAACAGTCTCGCTGCAACCAATCCCTGCAGTCGTTGCGGGGGTGGAGCGGGGGTACAACCTGGAATGTTCTACAGTCCATTAAGGGGTCACATACATTCGCATTCATACTTATAGTCAGTCCAGTTGTTTAATGGCACTAACCGCACAATGTGGCCCCTGTTAAGAATCACCCCTGAGTCAAATGACTTTGTAATTCTGATAAAACATTTGGAAAAGGTCCTATCAGGTTTACTTTACGTGTACATATCAGTTTCTGCAGATGCATTGTTAATTTTTCATGCATTTGTATTTTTGCCCTGATCCAAGAACAAATGTTACTGCATACCTTACATTAAAGTATTAATGGAAATAAATAAGTAATTGATTTGCTATCTAATCAAATCAAAAAGAGAATCAATAAGTAAGAGTGGATAAGAAATAAAATCTTAGGTAAGATCAATAATGGAACCAGAAACTATAAATTCTTATTAGTTCCCCCAAGTTTTTGCTCCAGAGAAGAACTGGTTTCAACCAGAAACTATAAATTCTTATTAAGTTTTTGCTCCAGAGAAGAACTGGTTTTGTTGAACTGCGCTGCACGGAGGAGCACTCTGCTCAGCACTACCTACACACAAGGCTGCCATCACTGCATTCATTGTCAATGTGTGCCAGGGTGGCACAAACAAAGGAAAATGGTCACCATTCTTATGTGAGATGAAACGTGCACGCACGGCACGCAGCCCGGGCGCTAACACATGCACTTGCATCGGCATACCAGCCCACACACTGTATGGAGAACGTCCATTATATTGGAATGCCCTGTTGCCTGCCTGTAAACACCACATGTACCCAGTCCTGAACAGGCCTGACGCTGCTGAGTCATACAGGACTCGAACCAAGACCAGTGGCTTGTTATGTAGACTGTATATAAACTGTTTATGTGCTGAGATTACCCTGGCATTAAAACCCACAGCTTGTAAATATAGAGTCCGATTATTCCCGCTGAACTCTCTCCTTCCCTACTTGCAGTCATGAGTCATGCAGTTGCATCATGTGATCGGAAGGATACTGTTTTGCTCTGAGATGGAAAGCATGTGTTTACACGGAGAGTAGTTTGTAGGAGGTTTGGGTGGGAGTGGATGTGTTGTATGGACTATAATTGGGAGTTTGGTTGGCATTCTGTGATGATTGTTGAGAGTCTTTTTTGTTTTTCAACAAATGTCTTAAAAATACTACTGAATAGCTCTTTAGAGATAGAAAATTCTACTGATAACTTTCTTTAGAATAATAGAGTTCATTCTAACTAATGTCCTTTGCACGTGTTCTGTTTGCTGTTTCCTCCGTGTCCTCTGACGGTCCACAAACATTCAGTCTTAGCTTAATTGTCCACTCCAAGTTGATCAGAGGTGTGAATGAGAGTGTAAATATTTGTTGTCTCTATTTATGACCTCATTATGGACCAGTGAATTCACCAGGGTCTTCCTCACCCTCAGTGACTGCTGGGATTGACTCCAGCTCCAAGTGTGAATTAAAAATAAAACTATGATTTCATAGTTAGTCATAAGTAGTTTATCAATTCAGCTTTTGAGCATTTAGCTTTTTGAAATGTAATATCAAATACGTGTTCACTCCTTCTTTAATGGGTTTGAGTCAGACAGGATGTGGAATCCTGCAGCTGGGTGGAGGATTCCCTTTTGGAACGAAGGGGAGGAGGCTGGATTTCCATTTCTGGGTTACAATGGAAGGGGGTTACGTTCCTGTGTACATTAGGGAATGACAGTTGTGATGGAGGATCCTTATTATTCCTGTCACCATATTCACAGCTGCTGGAGCTGGGCTGAGTGAGATCTATGATCCATGGTGTAGATGTGTAGCTGGATAGAGTTTTCCCACGATTCCCAGTTGGCAAACTTTGCACTGGTCTCCATCAGGGGAAGGATACGTTGGCGAGTTGGCACAAAGATCTAACAGTGTGTGAGACCTATAGAGACCTGAGCCAACCTCAGTCACAGTCACTCGGACATGTTTGAAATGTTTTTCACCACGGATGGATGCAATCAGATAGTACAAACTGGTTACAGGCCCAACTGCAAACACTTGTTGCCAACAGCTGATGACAAAGAGAAGGTGGGACACAGGAAATGGCATCAGAGGATGACAGGAAGTAGCAACAATATCAAAACTCTCAAGAGAGAAGACAAAACAAAACCTGGACCACAGAACCGGAGGACAGATTAATAGAACTGTGGCCAAAAAACTGTGGCTTATTTTTTCTGATGTGGTTGGTAAGGTGAGGGTTAAGCAGTGATGTTTTGTATAATTTATGGTCTACTTAGTGAGATGTCACAAATTCTTTCACATTTGCTTGGACATATTTCAAGTGTCCATCAACTCTCTGCTGCCTTGTCCCATGAGCAATCAACTGTTTATGTCCACTCCATGTTTTTTCCATCGCAGCATCCATGCCCTCTGCATTTCCCATCTGTGAGGATACGCAGACTTCCTGTCATGAACAACAGGATGTGCGTACTTGGATGTACTTGCGACTTTTTTTAGCCTACACGTTACTTAGGCTCCTACTTTAACTTGTCACTGTGCTGCTGCACGTCTTTTTAAAGAGATTTACAGTAGAAGGGGGGGGGTAGTCTGGTTTGTAACAATAAATACACCACAGTGTGTACTTTAGATGTGCATTTTATTGTTAACATGAAGCTGCAACACTTACCACAGACCGACACATTTTATAGTTTTGACTTTAGAAATGTTAACAATTTGTTTACAGGAATGGTGGAAATTCTTATTTAAAAACACCATGTTTTACCAAATACCTGAATCATGCAATAACAGACTTGCTGACTTAGTGCTGTGTGTGTTTTTCATGACCTTATATGTAAGCCACGGGGGAAAGAACACAATGTACAGAATGTGTTTTCAAAAGACAGAAAAATAACGTTGTAGCTTCGTAAGAACGGAGATGTTTCCTCATGACATCATGCTGTAAATAGCACATTAGTACATTTGTCACAACAATTATGTTGCTTTCCCAAGCTTGTAGCTGTTCCTCAGGAAGAAAAAAAAAGTCCTTCAGGGATGACACACATTAGTGGTTTTAATCTCCATGTCTGCATGAGAAACTGTTTCATGTTGTCACTTGTTGCTTCCAAGGGTTGATCTCAGTAACAGTAAGTTCTGAAAAACTGTAAGTGATGACACACGTTGTCTCCGTGATGACATACATACACACGCACACACAGACTTAAGTGACGTTGATTTATAACTGCTCCTGGGCTTTCTCAACCGACTCCTGGTCCTCTTTTACCCTTGTTTTTCCTCGTTCTGTACCTCTCTTGACTTCCCCATTTTGGCTTTTGCCATTTAATTTCGGAATGATGTGAATTGGACTAAATGCACCATAAGTGTGAATGTAGATGTGAATGCTTTTTTTTGCAAAGTTATTACTTTTAGCTGGGACACTATTATTTGTTATTCCCACCGTGATGTCGCAGTGGTACAGTGGTAAACAGTGATGCCTGACAACTATTTGTTTTTTCCCCAAAATGTTTTTCCCAAAATCTGACTAGAAGACGGGAGGATTTGTTTTCCGCTGGTTAACGGAACTGTTAATATATTTGCTGTGTTCAAATTGTCATTTTATTGTCGCTTCATGAAGCAGAGACTCATATTTGAATCGCAGTCGTGTAGAATCTACTTCCTCCTTTCTTTCTTTACGAGCGTTCTGCTTATATAGGCCCTAAAAATAGCAGTTCTTTGGTCCAATAGGAAGCGGATGCGCTGTGCCGCTTCCAGCCAACCAGATCGCACGGACGGAGTCAGCCCTGACTCACGATTGGGCCGATGCCGTTCGGTAGGCGGGTGATGGGCTGCCTGCAGCGGATTGGTCGAAACGACTTCGCGTCACTCAGAGGAGGGCTGTGTTTGTGTGTTACTTTGAATCAGTGAGGGAGGGGGGAAAGTTTACAGTAAGCTGTCTGACTTTTTGGGGAGTTTCGTTTTGAGATCTTTCGGTGCATCACAAGCTACAAAAAGCCTCTGCAGGATCCGAAGAAAGACCCTCATACATGCACATACAGCCCAGACTCCAGTCTGTCCCCGTCTCTTGTCCACTCCGAGCTCTTCGCGTGCAGACTTCCCCTGTGCTCACTGTAACGTCCCTGGTAGTGAAATGGATGTAATTCCGATGTGCAGCATTTTCCAGGAGCTTCAAATAGTGCACGACACCGGATTCTTTTCAGCGTTGCCGTCTCTGGAGGAGTACTGGCAGCAGGTAAATACGATACGCCCGTACCCAGCACTATGTCAACAATCTCACACACACTGCAGATTTTGACAGCTCACATGCTCGACTGTCAGTGTTCAGTGGCGGCGTCAAGACGGTGCAGGGGGGGCTGCAGAGGCCACCCTCTGACGATAGTTGGCCACCCCAGAATAATCTGCCCTGACACTGTATAATTGTTCCTTGGACCTTGCCATATGTTTTCATTTTGATTTTTGCATAAAAGCAGCAGTTTTCAAAGCGTTTGATCTGCCATCCAGTGGTGATCCACTCCTGTCCTTAGTGGTCCTTTGGATTATTGGTTAAAATTTATTTTTTTAATTTTATTGTGCCGTCTTCATGGAGGTTGCATGTTCTGCCTGAAGGGTTGGTATATTGCAGTCCAAGCACAGGCAGGATGTAAAAATGGACTCAAACTTACAGTGATTTTATTTTACATTTTATTTTACTTTCTGAACTATTAATACCTTCTGGTTTCTCTTCTTGCCAGAGTCAGGTCTCTGATTAATGTTGGTTTGTTGTAACCTTGAGGTTTGACAAGCTCAATCCAAAGTCCCCTGTGTTTTTCTTCACTATCGGCAAATGATCGATGATTTATTGAGGAAATGATTGTACAATCCTGCCGATGAAGATTACTGCACTTTCTAAACTGTTCAGATGGAAAATGTGTTGTTTCGTCATAACTGCAGGACATTTCTGAGTACTCATGTACTACTGATGGATGTTACACACAGGAAGTAGTGTTGTAGGATCTCCCTTTTCATTGTCATTCTTCTGCTTTGGGTTTCAACACAGAAGTACCAAAGTTGCATCTTGTTGAGTTTTGGGAAGTGGACCAATAATTAAACACATCAGTGATTTAATTTCTTCCTTTTTTTCTTCCTTTTTCTTCGTCTCAGTCTAATCAGATCCGCTTTGACTCATGGCTTTGTTTCCCTTCCTTTTAAAAAAGCTTAGAGTGGAGTTATGCAGAGCTGCTGACCAGAAACATGTTCCCCTGTTATTCCCGAGTGACCGTGTTGATCCCACAAGATTCCCCTTTTAGACATGACTAGCGTGTGTGAAGTTGCATTCCTCTTTTTTTTCCCCACACCAAACAATCTCTTGATATGAAATGTGCCTCCGTGATGGGGAAAAAAGTATGGTGTCACTAAAAGATTGGTTCTGGGTGTAAGAATGTGCTGTTCACACGCCTGTGTCTCTGTGAGCAGCCTCACTGCTCCAGAAAGATTCAAAATGAATCAATGATGAGATAAGAAATTGACTATTTGAAAAATTAACTGTAAATTATTTCTTTAAATTTTGATTTAATGTCCTCCTTTTAAAAGCTCAGGTAAAAGTCAGTCACATTAGCCACGTGACCACTGTGGTAGTTTATACAATTGTGCTTTAATAAATATATATTCTACTCTATATTTGAATCTGCCTAATTAGGACATGGGCTGACGAACATGTCTGATATTTGCCCTGTACGTTATGACCGTAGTGGGCTGTCAAAGCTCTGCTTTTTCTTTGTTTCTCTCTCAAGAAGCAACATTCCCACAATTCCTAGCGGCTCGTGAAGTATTAATGCTAGGCTCTTTACTGACCCCGGTGAACCAGACCTCCCTCCTCTCATCCAGCTCCCTAGTGTGTCATGTTATTTCTAGCAAAGCCTCAGAAAATGCATTATTTAGTCCATATTTATGTTGAATAATTGATGGATTTTAAAGATGTACATGCACTTCCTCAGCCCAACACGTCAGGAAACTACTCTGTAGAATATATGTTCATTTTTATGACCAAGCTAAAAAAAAAACCAGCACCCTGTTCCCCAAAGAAAACAAAGCCTGACATTGTCCCTGCTGTGACCTCCAGGAGCAGATGTATCACCATAGAATTCAAAGTACAGTCAAACAAGCAGTCAGCGTGCTGACAGTGGAGGCCTGGGAACAGTTTTATCGTTAGCATTAAATGTAAAAGTGTGATTGTGTTGGTAGAGGTTTTAAAAAAAAGAAATTGCAAAGTGATTAATGATGACAGAAATGCTATAATCTCATCTATTCTCCTCCATCGCAGACGTGCCTTGAGCTGGAACGGTACCTCCAGAGTGAGCCCTACGTCTCAGCCACAGACCTCAAGTTTGACAACCAGAAGGATCTGTGGAGCAAGTTGATGCTTGCTTGCGGGGACAAGTCCAGTGACCCCGACCCAAAGCTCCCACATATAAAAGAGGAAGAAGACAATCAGGACGCCCAGCATGTGGACGCTGGGGGCTTTAACTCCGACGCCAGCAGCGAGACCTCTGACAGCTCAGAAGAACTCTCCCCGACCCTTGACTTCACTTCCAGCTCTTTGACTGACATCCTGGGTGAAGGTGGAGACGAGCTGGGGTCAGCCATCATCAGCACACCACCGTCCTCACCCGAGGTGGAAAAAGACAGCTCTGTAGCCCAGGTGTGGAGCGGAATAAACACTGTGCTGCACTCGCCTGGGAAAACAAGGACAGTCGGAGGTATGGAGAGGCCAGGGCTGACCAGCTGGGAGGCATCCTCTGATGGGAGGAGGCGGGTGCACAGGTGTCACTTCAACGGGTGCAGGAAGGTGTACACCAAGAGCTCACACCTCAAAGCACACCAACGTACACACACAGGTAAATGTTGTTCAGGTTTTTATCCCACATTTTAGCTGTTTGTAACAACCACAGTCCAAGAACAGAAGAAGAAAATTCTTTTTCATTTGTTTCTCTGTGCAGACGTGAAGGCCGGTTTAATCCGGCTATTATAATTTCATTCTTTTGTTTTGGTTCATCTCCTGTACAGTTTGTTAAGACAAATGCAGGAAGAGCAAAAGAGTAAATGTAAAAGATATTTTTTCTTACTATCAATGTTGTAAAAACGCCTCCACATACTTTGGACGTTTGTCTGGAGGAATTCCCTCAACTGTGACCTAATTCACACAGAGGAGCGTGACTTCATTCACAGAGGAGAGGAAAAGAGGGGGAGGTGGTGGGAGTGAACGGAACTGTTTTTGTGGTGGCACAGCACCCAGAGGATGTAGAGCCTGCAAACAAAACGGCACCTCTCAGATTGCAGCATGGGAAACAAGTTCAGAACAAGACAGTCCACATTCAAAGTCCAATAAAGGAGGCAGCCAATGAAAGAAGGAAAAAAAATAATCGGAATAAATGATGGAAATCTGACATTTTCAGCCGTTTGTTCTTTGCTATTTTTGCTTTGTCACCTTTGACCTTTGTCAGGCCGGCCACAGCTGTGTCACCCATTAGCAGAGCGAGTCTGATCCCAGACGTCCTTTCACAGACCACATTAGCCACATGGTTTGTTGTTACATAAACTGTCTACCCGAGCAGGAGCCATACAGCTGCATTCCACAGCTCACTGAGCCCAGAGGTACAGGATTGATTTTCTCTCTGGTGCACAGTAGCTGATCCTGTCTGCCTCAAGATCACCTCATCATGTAGCATTGCTGTTAGTAAGTAAGCTGACAGTTTAGGTTGACTGACTGATATTGTCTGATGTGACAATATCAGATGATGAGCCACAGGTTGCAGATCTCTGTTACAAGGCTGAATCTGTTGACTTGAAACGGTAACAATTCTAATTCTCTGAATGTTTGTCATTTTGCAGGAGAGAAGCCCTACAGGTGTTCATGGGAGGGCTGTGAGTGGCGCTTTGCACGGAGTGACGAACTCACCCGACATTTCAGGAAACACACTGGAGCAAAGCCTTTCAAATGCAGTCACTGCGACAGGTTGGTGCACCAGAAGGTCTGTCAGTGTCTGGTCGTCCAGACGACCAGACACTGACAGACTTGAAGGACACATAAGAAGGAATAAAAGTTCAGATCTGTGGAGTTAAACTTACTGTCCAGTAAGTGAATGTTTTTTCTTTTCTGTCTTCAGGTGTTTCTCCCGTTCTGACCACCTGGCGCTGCACATGAAGAGGCACATCTAATGTGGTCCTGTTGTGAAGAAGAGCTCTGAAGGGATGATGTCCTGTTGGGGATCAGTGAGACCAGTGTGTCCTCCTACTGCTGACAGGAGCCCTGTTGTGTTCCAGGCAGCAGGAGGACGAGGAACAACACAGGCTTTTATTTGCACCATACTCAGTGCCTCCAACACCTTGTTGTACAGATTGTTTTTGAAAGGGGGTTTAATTAGAAGAGGGAGGGTTGGGAAGAAAGAAAGGAATCAAAGTCCTTATGATGAAAAAATGGTAAAAATCTGGACTGGAAAAGATGGGAAGAGGTTCTTTTTTCTGTATGGTGTTTGACGAGTTCTCCTGGAGGATTAATGGCCTCCTGTTGGGATGTGTGCCATGCCTACCAATAACAGTGTGTTTGCCTGTGTGTGTTGGATCTGTGGTTGCCTGTGACTGTATGCTTGTGCCAGCTTTTGTAGAGCTGATGGGATAGTGAGTGGATGAACGATGCAGAGATGATGTCAGGTTTACTTTTCACGTGGGGATGACGTGTTGAAGCTTCCTTCGAATGAATGAAAGCAAAAAAACAAAAAAAAACAAAAAAAACCCCAACAAAAACCAAGGTTTGGTCTGTGTCCAGAGAGGGCCTGCTGTACAGGCAGGCGTACTTGTTTAGTATGATAGGGCGCCCCCCGAAACCTTGAGGTGGAATAACAACTCCTAAATCGTAAGCAGGAGTTTTTGTTAAGTGCAGCTATTACTGTAAATGTGCAATGTAGAAATGAGCTCGTCTAAAACCCCGCACACACCAAATAGCTTAGGTTTCTCTTCATGTTAAAAATAAAATTGAAACAATCACTTTTTGCCATTGTGGGACATGGGTGTGTGTTTCTGCTGCTCATTAGTTTGCTTTATATGACAAAAGAATTCCTTTCAAGAGCAGCTACCTTCAAATGATGATAGTATTTTACAAAAAAAACATAGCTCTTGATAATGTATTGATACGCTGGGGATACCACTACTGCTTTACTGAGGGATGTAGTTTATTTTTTCTTCTAACCAGAAATGCACTGTTGCCCCTTTGTGTCGGTGGCTTTGTCATGTTAAAAATGTAGAACATCATTTTAGATAAACAGTTAGACTCTGATTCATACAGTAGTGCATTTACTGAAGAATTCTTCTTCTTAACCGTTTCATGTGTATAGACGTGCATTTACTGAAGAATTCTTCTTAACCGTTTCATGTGTATAGAAACGTACAGAATAGGCATTAACACTGGCTCGTTTCTATTGCCCTTCAGAGACTTAAGAAAAATAGCCCGGCTTCTTGCGGCATCTTCAGTCAACAACATCAATCACGAGTGTTTTTGATGTTGTATGTTTTGGCTGAGGTCATCCCTCAGGCTGAGTCAGTAATGTTACTTATCCCTGCTTTAAACAACTCGTGACTTGACTGAACGGTACCAAAAACCAGTTGAACCAGCTCGAACTGTGGCAGGTCATGAGGTTTCAGTGTTTTTCTTGAGTGGAAAGAATGTGACCAGATGTTTAATCTTTGCAAACTTAGTTTACTTCCTAATTCATTTGAATTTGCATTGAGCGACCTCAACACTGGAAATTTCTACTGGAGTCACATTTTCAGTGTGTTGTGAAAAAGCACCATCATGTGTTCAAAGCAAAGAATGCATTGCATTACTGGATGTGTGAGGATAAAAACAAAAAATGCAATGTGCAAAGAGCTTTGAAAATATATATATATTCAGATACTTTTGTAACTTACTGCTTAGGATTTATGAAGCCTATAGCACATGATGTAATTTTAAAAATATATAACATAAACATAAGCTATCATTACATCATCTGTACTTGACGTTTCCAAGAGAACTCCATTTCCAATTGGATATTAAATCAGTTCATCAGTACTGGGTTAATATTTTAGTTTTGACTGTGTTAAAAATATAGATTTTATTTGTTGCATGACTCATGTCACTTGGGTTAAGCTATGCAAACTTTAAATTTATTTTTATAATTATGTGTTTCCTTTTTATGAGCAAAGACTTTCCGTTGGTTTTGGTGTGCATGCACAATTATGGTGTACATGTAGCAGCAGGGAGAAACGTGTGCTTCGAGGTCACGGCTGAATGAATGATACTGTGTCCGTCTTTAGTCAGTAAGTCGTCAACATTACAGGTGACATCTGTTGATGTGCTGTGGTGGTAAATTCTATTGAACATTAATAAGAATCGTTTGTTCAATTATCAATGTTTGTTTTCATGATGACAAATGTTAAATGCAGACATTATTTGCTATGAAAGCATTGATTTTACAAGGGTATGGGACCAAAAAACAAAAGGTTTTTCCTCAGCATTGGATAATAAAAACAAGAAGCTAAACCATCAGACAGATGCACTCCACTCCACTTCTGCTTCTGATTTTAGGCATGAAATCTAAATCCCAACACCTCTCACCCATCATCGTTCAAAGTTTTATTTATAATTTTAAAAATGCCGTACCTGCTGAGTATGTTTTCACATTCAATGTTATGTTGAAAATGGACATTTTTTGTCTCATAAAAAAAACCATCACAAAACCCTATTTTGAATTAGATTATTGGAGAGATAGCAGGATACTATATAATACAGCTCTATTTTGTTTGCTTATAAAAAGTTTTTTATTGAGAAAAAAAGTTTTGTAAAATAGTCTCTGTATGAAATTATTTTTATTGAAAATGTATTAAATGAAACTATGGGATCCAAATGTGATTTTGTTGTCTGTCTCTTTTTTGTTCCCCTAATGAGAATGAAATATATTGTCCTCCTTGTCCTTTTTATTATATGTCTTTTTGAAAAACAAATGTATTATTTTTATATATTTCCCATTTGTTTTTAACGTTTTAATGTATCTTTTTACATAATTAAATTTCTACAATAGTAAAATGGCATTTTAAACAATAGTAGAACGCCAAGGTTTATTTGTTCCAGGGAAAAAAGGTCCGGCAATAGTAGAAAGTGAATGGCATATTTGCTCGGTCATGACTACCCCAATATGGCGGTGACGCTAACTTGTTTACACACATTACAACAGGAAATACGTCAGCGATATACTCACTGCGCTTGTGTCGCGCAATACTGACACCACGAGAAAAAACATGGATGCTGAATGCCATGGTGAAACTATGAGAATTCAGTGACAGCAGGGTTGTGTCAAGGTCTGGGTTGTGTCTTTGTGGAGTAAGGTAGCGGTCGATTTACATCATGTCCCGGCTAACGAAGACAACGCTCCAGAAACTTCGATATCTGAGGTGAGTCAGTTTAAGACGCGAACTCTCATTCGTTGTGTTAGAGATAAACCGGTATCTGTGTCTCTATGTTCATTGTAAAAGTTAGGGGTACATTGAAATTCAACAGATGATGCAACAAGACACATGTATTTCAGTATTTATTTATTAATTTTTAAGCCTTTTAATTTAATTTATAAAGAATTAGATACAAACCATTTCAAGAAAGGTGGAACCTTAGTGTATATGGTATTATGTTTACATCAAATGTATAGATATTGTTTTTTGTTTTTTTAATCTTAAACTCTGCTCTTTTTATTGCCCTGTTAAGTCGTAAGTTCATATATATATATATATATATATACTTCTGTGATGAGAGATGTACAATAAAATTCAAAAGTGATTGCGCCAAAACTGCAGTTGTACTTCAGTACCGAACCACCAACAGTTAATGATGATGAGGAGGAGGTGATTAATTATGAACCACTTAAAACTTGACTCTCAAACAACGTAAATTTGTATTGTGTTTGCTGACAGTGTTAATGGACATCGTCACATCTGGAGGCAGAAGAGCACGTCATCAGAAAGGGCGTTGAACTACCAACCAGGCCAGAAAATCTATGGCTTCACAGTTGAAGAGGTTAGTGGAATATTTGATTTGGTCAACAGTATTGTTGTATAAAATACATTAAACATACATACATATATACATATAAATGAAACATTTTCTGTCTGTTCGACTGATGCTGTTTCCAGGTTGTATCCGTGCCAGACCTTTTTCTCACTGCGGTGAAGCTGACACACAACAAAACCGGAGCTAAGTATCTGCACGCAGCCAGAGATGACTCCAACAACCTCTTTAGGTCAGTGCTTTTTCTTGATAGTATAGTGTGATGCATATTTATGATCCATGTTCTTGTCTTGCCAACAGTGTTAATGCCTGTAAATAATCCCCTTTCAATCTGTGTTTCAGTGTCCAGTTCAGGACCACTCCCATGGACAGCACAGGTGTTCCTCATATCTTGGAGCACACAGTGCTTTGTGGATCTGAGAAGTATCCCTGCAGAGACCCTTTCTTTAAAATGCTAAACAGGTCTCTGTCCACGTTCATGAACGCCTTCACAGGTACAGAAAAACAAGAAAGCTTTCTTTTAGCCTTTGTCCAGAGAGGCCATAGTTGTTCAGTCTTTTTCTGAGTGAACCGTAAAATATTACATTCCAACTAGCTCTGTAACTTACTCCCTGCTTTGCAAATAAACCCGATAAAGCACAGACTAAAAGATGGTTTTGCAAGAAAAGCAATAAAACTGATGTGAACAGAAGAATACCATATGGTTGTCGTGGAAACGTAAACCTTTTCAAAGATTCTTGACTGTTTTTTGTCTGATTGTGAACAGCGAGCGACTACACCATGTATCCGTTCTCAACGCAAAATCGTAAAGACTTCCAGAATCTTCTCTCCGTCTATTTGAACGCCGTCTTTTTTCCATGTTTACGAGAACAAGACTTCAGGTTAGTGACCTTTATACTAACTTAACACTTGATAATTTGACAATTACGTTTATTGTCATAGTCCAAAGAAATAGTTTGACCGATAAAAGGGTTATCTCTTATCTTTTATTCATGTCAATGTTTTGTGTTTGCTTTATTTCTAGGCAGGAGGGCTGGAGGCTGGAGAACACAGATGCCACAGATCCTGACTCCCCTCTTGTGTTCAAAGGAGTTGTGTTTAATGAAATGAAGGGAGTTTTTGTAAGTCAACCATTTGTCAGGTGCTCTTTTGAATCTACAAAGATAAATATATATATATTTATACTAAAGGTACAGAAAGATGTTCATGTTTTAGTTTTTACCAGGTCGTACATAATAAACTAATGTGTGTGTGTGTGTGTGTGTGTGTGTGTGTGTCTCAGTCAGATAATGAGCGCCTGTATGCACAGCACCTTCAGAACAAACTGTATCCAGACCACACCTACTCAGTGGTGTCAGGAGGAGAACCTCTGGTCATCCCTGACCTCACCTGGAAACAACTCAGGCAGTTCCATGCCAAACACTACCACCCCAGCAACGCAAGGTAGTTGAACTTAGACATGTGAAGTAAATAAATCAATAAAGAACTTGGTAATAATTTGAACTTTATTGCTCCCACACCTGGTAAAGCAGATATGCTACAACAGGCATGCTAAACACTACGGTATGGAACCAGTCATGAACATGTGTTGTTGTATAATCAACCCCAGGTTCTTCACTTATGGAGATTTGCCTCTGGAGCAGCATCTAGAGCAGATTGAAGACGAAGCTCTGAGCAAGTTTGAACGCATCGACCCAAACACAGCTGTCCCGTGTCAGCCTCTCTGGAGTAGCCCTGTAAGTAGATCACTCACACAGCACTGCATCATCATTAACTGGACTTTTACTTTAGTATTACTCTACCATCTCCAGAGCACAGTTAAATCTGTTTGCTTTTTGACTATGTGTGTATGCTTTTACTTTTGTACTGCTGCTGGAAATGTATTTTTTGATGATTTGATTAAGGTTTTAATCTAATCTTGTGCTGGAATCAGCCAATCCAGCAGCCCAAAACTCCATAACTGAAACTCACAACAACTAGCTGTATGCAGACACGAATATATTAGTGTTTGACCATAGAAAATATTTGTTAGTTACAACCTTCACAAAACGTCCTGTTGTAAAGGTTTTTTTTTAAAGAGACTGTTGCTGGGTGAGACGATACGTACAGTAGTGTTGTTCTTAGACTTTTATTGATGATTTTTCATTTTATACCGACAGTCAAAGGGCTGTTCTTAGACTTTTATTGATGATTTTTTTCCCCTTCAGAGAGAGGACCATGTGACCTGCAGCCCTGACACTCTGGCACCATTTCCTGCCAAACAGAACACACTGTGTGTGAGCTACTTGCTGGGAGAGTAAGACTGCAGCATCTTTTATCGTGTATTTTTTTTTTGTATTTATTTCTTCTTTGTTCTTCGCTAACATCTGACTTTGTCTAACCAGCATCACTGACACATTTGAGGCCTTTACTCTCAATCTGCTGTCTTCTCTGATGATCACTGGTCCAAACTCACCCTTCTACAAGGCTCTTATTGAACCCAAGATTGGAACAGACTTCTCCCCCGTTGTTGGGTTTGTACTTTGTACACAAATCCCTGTGAAGATGTCCTGACACTCTGCTGAATGGCACTGATGATGCCTGTGTGTAATGTTCTGTACTGCAGATATGATGGCAGCACCAAAGAAGCTTCGTTCAGTGTCGGCCTCCAGGGGATGTCCAAGGAGGACATGGAGACAGTGAAAGACATTATCAACCGAACCATAGATGATATCATCAAGTAAGTGCCATGATCTGAGACAGAGTTTGGTTTCAGAGGGTGAATGAGATATTCCTATGTCTACATTGAAATAGAATTTCAGAAAAAAAGTTTAGAAATGATTTGATATCCCTCAGCAAAGACTTTTAGTGAAGATATTTTTGGGTCTGGATGGTTTCCTTCTCACCTGTGACCATTATTTTTTGTAATTGTCTAGTTGTCATGACAATACGTTGAGTACGCTTTAAGAAAATGTCTTGAGTTTTGTTAAATATTATTTCAAGTCTAGATCCTGGCAGGACTTAAGTCATATCTGACTGTCGTTCATCTCCTAAACTGATTGATCTGTTTCTCACCTGCGATGGTAACGTCACTGCTGCTTGTTTTGTGACTCAGGAATGGCTTTGAAGAGGAAAGAATCGAGGCTCTGCTTCATAAGATTGAGATTCAGATAAAACACCAGTCGACAAACTTTGGCCTTTCGTTGGCCGTGGTGAGTTCACTGTTGATCTCCTCTGACCTTCACTGTGTTTTCACTTTCAGGAGGACACAGCAAAAAATAAAATCGTTTTAGTTTATTTTCTAGATTTTTTTCTGCAGCCTGATGTTTACTGTTTCCTCTCTAGTACATAGCATCACCGTGGAACCATGAAGGTGACCCTGTCCAACTGCTTCAGATCAGTGAGTATACTGCCAGGTTCAGGAAGGCCCTGGACGAAAACCCACGCTTTCTCCAGGAAAAAGTCAAACAGTATTTTAAGGTAAGGTCAAAATGATACAGAGTATTATTGCTGCAAAGGTTGCAGTTATGATCATGTCCTTTTTTTGCTGTTGTAAAGATATTTTTGTAATATATGATTGGTTTTTGTTTTTTGTTTTTTTTTCCCGATGCAGGACAACACACACAGACTGACTCTGTCAATGAGTCCAGATGACGACCACCTGGAGAAGCAGGCGGCTGCTGAGCAGATGAAGCTGGAGAAGATGGTCCAGGCTTTGACTGACGAGGACAAAAAGGACATCTATGAGAAAGGTTCACTATTGAGCCTTTTATCTTACTGTCAGACCAGGGGCAAAAGACAGAATATGGAAATGGCTTTTTTTTTTATTATAAATACATAGTGTTGTTAGGGAGGTTACAGAAGCTCAAGTAGGATACACTGCAAGATTTAAACACAAAGTGACCAAAGCTTTGATGATTAGCCACCAGATGGGCCATCAAAAATAAGCAATAATTTCATATGACTGTAGCGTGAACATCGTGTGATTAAATTGTTAATGTTTCCCTGTGTGAAAAGGTCTAGATCTGCTGGAGGCTCAGAGTCAAACCCAGGACATCTCCTGTCTGCCTGCCCTCAAAGTGAGTGACATTGAGCCAAGGACGTCCGTCACCGCTGTTCAACTCACCTCTGCTGGTACTGTACGCTGCACAGTGTGTTTTGCATCATCATTGCATCACGATGTTCTGACAGAGTGTAGTCAAAGCTATCATAATGGTGCTGAACATTTGGGCTTGGACTTCTACTGTTGACAGGAGGCGTTCCAGTGCAGTACTGTGAGCAGCCCACCAACGGCCTGGTTTACTTCAGGGCCATGTGTAACCTCAACACATTACCAGAGGATCTCAGGCTCTATGTCCCGCTCTTCTGCAGTGTGATCACCAGGTGAGTCCAGTTTGACCAGAACATTTTCTAAAGTGCACTGTAGAAATTCATGGCCCAATGAGAAGGGAATGGTGGGTAAAAAACATGTTCCGTGTTCCTCATCAGAATGGGATGTGGGGATCTGGATTACAAAGGACAAGCCCAGCAGATGGAGCTGAGGACAGGAGGCATGTCTGCATCCACCCAGGTCATCCCTGACTCTGCAGAGCTGGACATGTTTGAACAGGTCAGTGCCAACTCCTTCATACAGCCTCCACTTTAACCTTTTCAGGGTCGCAGCAGAGCTGCAACCAACATGGTGTCACTCTTCTGTCCCGTCCGTCTCAGGGTGTCCTCCTGTCCTCCTCCTGCCTGGACAGGAACCTTCCCCACATGTTTCAGCTGTGGAGTGACATTTTCAACAGGTACCTCCCACCCTCTGTCCCTGTCCGTCCCAGCCGATGTCAGCAGGAGTAATGTGTTTATATTCTTCTCAGCCCCCACTTTGATGACGAAGAGCGTTTAAAAGTGCTGGTGATGAGATCAGCGCAGGATCTGGCCAATGGCATCTCGTATTCTGGTCACATGTATGCGATGACGCGAGCAGGCCGTCACCTGACCCCAGCCGGAGACCTCCAGGAGACGTTTGGTGGAATGGAACAGGTTGGTGAAACTCAAGGTCATGACTTGAGCACAAACAGGAAAAACGGGACTGTTGTCAAGGCCGCTCGTATCAACACGACCTTCACTGAACCTTTTTTACGCTGTAATTCTGCAAACCTGCTATTGTCATTAATCTAGTAAATAAAAAATGTAAATCCGACAATGATCTCGCTATAGGTTCAAAAAGGAAAATAGAAATGAAAAGCATTTGACGTTTTGGGCCCTCTCACAAGAGTTTGGAAATGCCTGCTGTAGGGCAAGGACACCAGTGTTAGCTGTTAAATAGTTTGGATGTTTGTCCAGATGTTAGTCCAGTTTAGTTTTAGTTAGCACTCCTCTCCCTCGACACCACCTAAACCTTTGGTTTGTGTTGTTGTTGTTTGTAGTACAACAGTGTTGGTTGGTGTTCACAGGTGAAGTTTATGAAGAGAATGGCTGAGACGCCAGACCTCAACCTTGTTCTCAGGACATTACCCAGGATAAAGAAACACATTCTAAACCCAGATAACATGAGGTGAGTGTGTCGTCATGGCGACTGGGTCAACACCAGTTTTCCCTCCATTTCGTCAAAATGCAGATGAACATACTGACTGGACCACATTTTATAGAACTAAGAAACAAGTACACAGTGTGGTGTTTGTGTTTTTCTCTACAGATGTGCAGTGAACACAACTCCACAGATGCTGACGGATGCAGCCTCACAACTGGAGGGGTTCGTCCAGAGGATTAACGTAAACAAACGAGAGCGCAAATCTGTGAGACCAAACATCGTTGAGGTACAGTTACAGTGATGGCAGATGATTTTTATCTTGTCTTTATAAAACCACCGTCAACAGAAAGGGTTTCACTTCATTCCTTCACTTGTGATGTTGTTCCGTTTAAATGCAGAAACCTCTGGTTCCTGGTTCTGCCTCTGGACCAAACAGGAAACTAATCTCTGTAAGTTCCACACGGTACTGAACATCACTTTATGAATTATAACAAGCTGATATGATGTTCAGAAAGGTCACAGGTCAGTGCAGTGTTCTGTCTTATTGACTGTCAGTTTTTTTTAATGCTTTTCTGACCAAGACCAAGCACCCCTTGGAGATGGATTTTAAAAAATACCACTGTTTTTTTTAAAACGATTTAGCTTAATTTAATTACCTTTTTTTCCTCAGTAAATAATTTCTTTCAACTTTTTTCTTCCACAGGAGCTGAACTTCCATCCGTGTCAGATGAAAACCTTCTTCTCGATGCCTTTTTCTGTCAATTTTATCAGTGAGATCATACGGACCGTGCCTTTCTGCCACGAGGACTATGCCAGGTAATCGGACTACGTTTTTAAGTTGTAGGTCTTCAACATGGGGCACATGGACCTTTGAATTTTTTTTTCCACATTAGGCATTTAAAATATGATACAATATGATCCTGTGTTCAATTTGAAACGCTCTCTATTGAATGAAAAAATAACAGGTTAGTTGGAAAAGCTGAAGTTTTACTCTTGTATTTAAAGAGGTAGAAATATCTCAGCTGTGCTGTTGAGTAAATCATGTGTTTTTGTGTTTTCGTCAGTTTGTGCATTTTAGCGAAGATGATGACGTTCAAATTTCTCCATGGAGAGATCAGAGAAAAAGGCGGAGCCTATGGAGGCGGTGCTAAGATGGGAGGAGGCGGTTTGTTTTCCTTTTACTCCTACAGGTGAGCAGACTCTCTGACTGTACATGCAATATTCCGTTAACTGTAAAGTTGTGTATGTGGTTTTATCCTGGCGTTCTGTCTGATCTACATCATAGAACAGGAATGTGTGCAGCAAGTCTTCTTACATTGGTTCTGTTTTGACTTTCAGAGACCCACACTCAGTGCAGACGTTGGCTGCCTTTCGGAGAAGTGTGGACTGGGCCAAGTCGGGACATTTCAGTCAACAGGACATAGATGAAGCCAAACTCTCAGTTTTCTCTGCTGTGGACTCACCTGTGGCTCCTGCGGACAAAGGTCAGTCCCACCACTCAACAGCAGCATTTGTCTCAACCTGGGCTGTGGTTTAAACAACAATAATGAATTTAAATAATATATTTCATATATATTTATATATTCATTTACATTTTGATGTATACAAATATTAGAAATATCATTTTGTCAACCATCCATCCATCCATCCATTTTCATTCGCTTATCCGTTACCGGGTTGCGGGGGCAGCAGACGCCACCCAAATCACATTGCACCGTACCATTTGTCTTTCTGACCTGACTTGAATCATTCCACCTCTTCATTGAGTGACCATGTGATGCAGAGTGTGTTTCTGGGTTGTAGGGATGGGTCAGTTCCTCAGTGGGATCACAGATGAGATGAAACAGAGTCACAGAGAGAGACTTTTTGCTGTTGCTCATAAAAACTTAACCCATGTAGCAGAAAGGTGAGATTCAATCAATCATCTAACAATAACACATAAGATGTTGTGGACATGAGATTGATTTTTCATTCCTTTTTTTCTTGCAGATACTTGAGTTTGGGTCAGGGGACGTGTGGCGCTGCCATTCTTGGCCCGGAGAACGAAATGTTAAAGAAAGATCCCACATGGATCGTAAAATAATCTTATTGTCATGCATTTTTACAACTTTAAATCCTCATTGTAAAACATGTGATTTAATCAAACTTGAATGAAGATCTGTTAAAATTATTGAAGCCTCTCCATCATGTTTTGATGCAGGTCCATCTATTTATTTCATTTATTTCTCAAAAATGATTAAAAATACACTCATTTGTCTTAAAATACTTAGCTATGTCCATTCCTGTTGTTAAAATTCAGAAAAAATATACTTTTTGAAAAAAGTCCAATACTTGGCAAAACCTGGTTTCATTTAAATCAAAGATTTAAATGTTGATGCACGTGAAAAAGTTGCATGAATTTATATCGTTATTTTATTTTTAAACAATTGTGCATTAACATTCTATTGTCTGAAAAAGTCAATAATACTTGGCAAAACCTGGTTTTAATTTTAATTTCCCTTCCCTGCTCATTTCATGTACTCGCCACTTGGTGACGGAAAATAAGAACGCACTTCGTTTAAACACTCGCTTTGTAGTAAAAAAATAGTTTTTAAACAAAGTTACTAAAACGTTGATATATGTGAAAAAGTTACATGAATTTATATCGTTGTTTTATTTTTTTAATTCGCTTTTCTTCTGTCGAAAGATGTCTATTTTCTTCATGACCACAAGGTCCGGCCATTAGGATGTATGAACGATTCGACTTCCGGTGGCTCAAACGTGCCACTGCATATATAAACAAGTTCCCTCCAAAAGATTGTCTGCTCTGTGTGTAGGTGTATATTTAAGCCACTGGAGGGCGCATGACTATAATCACGTCGCGGGGAAACCCCTGGAACATTCAGAGAAGAAGACACGGGGTCTTCTACGTCTTTGTCTTTTGTGTGGTTGTATGCTTGAGCCAATTGGTTTCCGCCCTCTTGTGGCTCAAACGTACAACTTCACTCATCGACGTTTTCAAAAATTGAATTTCCCTTCCATGCTCATTTCATGTACTCGCCACCTGGTGACGGAAAATAAGAACGCACTTCGTTTAAACACTCGCTTTGTAGTAAAAAATAGTTTTTAAACAAAGTTACTAAAACGTTGATA